CGCCCTCACCTCCTGGGTGGGCATCGCCCGCCTCCTCGCCGTGGTGCTGTCCTGCCTCTCCTTCAGCCTGGTGGCCTCCACCAGGGACTTCGGGAATCCCTACGGGACGTGGTGCATGTTCTCCTGGTGCTTCTGCTTCGCCGTGACGCTGCTGGTGCTGCTGCTGGAGCTGCTGGAGCTCTACCCGCTGCTGCCGCTCTCCTGGGATGACTTCACCTCGGCTTTCTCCATGCTGGCCGCTCTGATGGTCTTCACCTCCTCGGTGGTGTTCCCTGCCACGTTAATCGAGAGCCCCTGCAACAACAGCAAGTGTGCCCGGCAGGCCGTGGCCACCACCTCCTCCTGCCTCTGCTTCGTCGCCTACGCCCTCGAGGTGTCGCTGACCCGCGCCAAGCCCGGCGACATCAGCAGCTTCCTCTCCACCGTGCCCGGGCTCCTCAAGGTCTTTGAAGCCTACGTGGCTTGCCTGATCTTCTCCCTGCTGGAGAGGAGTGAATACAGTAAGGGATCTGGCCTGATGTGGTGCGTGGCTGTCTACTCCCTCTGCTTCATCTTCACCCTCCTCATCATCATCTTCACCATCGGCCGCTGCCTCAGCTACATCCCCTGCCAGCTGGAGAAGGTGCTGGTGGGCTACAACGCGCTGGCCCTGCTGATGTACCTCACTGCCATGGTCGTGTGGCCCCTCTACAGCTTGGGGGGCCGGGGCCGCCCCGATCCCTGCTACTCGAACTGCTGGTGGAACAAGAACCTGGGGATCACCTTCCTCACCATCTTCAACCTCATCGCCTACTTGGTGGACCTGGTCTACTCCACCAGGATGGTTTTCTTCAGGGCGCCTCCCTAAGGGCTCGGGGCGGGGCTGGGGGCGGTGGGACGCGGCTGGTGCCGGCGGAGCTGAGGAAGGGGCCGGGTGCCTCGGAGAGCTCCTTGTGCCCAGGCAGAGAGCCAGGGCTGAGCCGGGGGTGAGCCGGGGGTGCGCTCAGCCCGGGGCCCCAGGGGCTGCACAGACAGGGGGGCTGGAGGGGCCACCAGGGGCTCCCGGAAACA